GGGATATAAACCTTATCACGTAATGATCTTTCCATCTCAAAATTTTTTCTCGCTTTTTCTGCATTTCTCCCTTCATTATGAAAGTCAACTATAGGTATAAATAAAATCAATATATGAAAATGCTTGTTAAGATAATAACTATATTGTATAAAAAACCTTCGTGGGCAATACTCTAAACGACCTTCTTGTCTTAAATGTTTTTCAGTATAATCAGCCGACCACGTAAGAGGAAGATCAAAAATGTGTTCGTACATATACATTAATGCTCTGTAGGCCAACAAATCCCAATTCTAATCAATTGATAAAAAATCGATTTTAAAGATTCATCCAACCTTTGAGAAAGTTAACTTTGTAAATTTCGGAAAATGAAAAACCAACCATCTGCTTTCTTATTTCGGGCTTTTGCACCTTGACTGCTACCAGTGTTCCATCTTTACGTTTCGCCCGGTAGACCTGAGCCACACTCGCTGAAGCCTAGAGTTGAAGATCAAAAAATGTAAGCCAGCTTATAGGAGTTTAGATAAATATCCATGATAAAACGTACGATAGCATTGCGTTCAAAGTCATCAAACATATCGTTAGGATGACAGTTAAAGTCCTCTTTGAAAACTTTAACAACTTGGTTAAAGTCAACGGCTGGACTATAGAATAAAATTTTTATGAATTACATGTAATGTAAATTTTATTATATTCACTAAAGAAGAAACTTACGCATCGTCGTATAATTGACTAAACGCTTTTTGGTATGCTTGAAAGAAGGATTGGTAAGGTAGACGTGTTGACGTGAAAAGAATTTGAAATCGAATCGAGGAATTATAAATATCAAAATATTCACCTGGTGGTAAAATGGCCGACTGCACTCCTATAGCTTGACCTAATTTTATATATAGACCACTATATGAACGCACATAGAAAGGTTGGAATGTAAATTATGAAGTGGTGTTGAATGAAAGAATATCCTTACCCACCCATTCGAGCGACAAACATTTAAAATTCTGTTCGCTACCCGTTCATGCAAATCATCAATCTTGTCACCCATACCAGGTCGAAAATTGATCTTGTAATCTAATCCTATGCAAAGGCTTTGTAGGTTCAAGCAAATTCATTATACTATGAGTTAAGTTGTGCCGAAAATTGGACGATCATAAATGACGAAAAATATTGATATGACACCCGTTCCAAACTGTTAAAGTATTTCGTTGTAAAGTTCTGGCATTCATTTTATCATCAGCGAAATAAATCCCACCAGATGCACTGATTAAAAAAGCAAGTCTACGAGCAGAAATTCTCATGGCAGATGACATTCTATAAAAAATGAAATGCGGATGGGATGAGTGTTGTAATTATTAAATACGTACTGTAATTTTGATTTGCGTATTTTTAAACGGGCTGAGCTGATTACTAATACGTATATTTTGTGAGCTACCACTAAAATGGAAAAGTTTATTGGCCGTGTACTCTAAATACGTTTCGGGGTTAGGATGCTGAATTCTTTCGTTAGTTTAATTATCATACGTAAACCACATACAGTATTGTAACTAAATATCAGTTTGTTGATTTTTAAAATATTACATACGACAAATTAATAAATTGTTATTAAAAAGTTAAAGGGTGAGAACGTACTGAAGTCGATACCAGATTGAAATATTAGAGCTTTCTTTTTTATATATGTAAAATGGATTTAATAGTCCGTGTACAGTACTACTGTACATTTTTTCGATGCTGTATAGATTTTTGTTTGAATATTAATTGAAATCCTTTAGATGGTATTCAGTATCAATTGAATTCTTCATAATACGCAACAAAGAGAAATTTTATTCTGGTCGTCCAATTTCTTAAGCTCGAGATACTCCATGAAAAATTCCTACAAAAGAAATGAATGTGTAGTAGAACGAAAGGAAATACTACAATGAAATCTTATCCCGGTGATAAATAATATTGCTGGGATAAATTCAAATGAATACTGTATAAATAGGTTTAAATATAAAATAATGTAATAAAATTATTGAATCTGTATAAAGCTTCGGAATATACTGCATCTTAACATATTTTTGTTCTTTTGATTATCTTCTGTTTCAATTTTAAAATTAAAATTTATACATCATTTATACTTTAAAATGCAAAGTGAACCGCATCGTGTATTAATTGTATGCGTATTTTAAAGTAATAAAAACTTGCTGTAAAATCATATACTACATTGGGAGCAATTACAGTAAATTTTCGAGAATAATAAAGTTTCTCGGTTTAATTACCCGTGCTATATATCTTTATTTTTAAATTGAATTTTACTGATTTTCAATATCGTGTGAACTTTAAATACTGTACTTTATCTGGCATTTTATAATGAACTGTATATAAAATATCAAATGTATTCAGAAATATGTATGAATTATTGGCAATATCGCTAATCACTACATCTCTAATACTAATATTTCTAATATGTAATTACGTTTTAACTAATTATAAATATTACAATATTTATAATAATATTTATTAATAATGATTTTGTCATCACTTTTTTGTTTTTATCTTGCTCATTAAATGATTGATTAATATTAACTTCTTTGAATGGTCTTTTGATATGCAAACTTGATGCTTTTACAAATCCTTCAGATAACTATAAAGTTAATAAATAAAAAAAGTTTTAAAAACCTTTCGCTAGAATTTAAAAATTAAAAATAAATATATTAATATACCTTTTCACTGTCTATTTCACAATCAATTGTATTATTCATTTTATTATTCTAAAAAAAAAAAAAATTTAATAATTTTATTAATTTATTTTTTAAAAAAAATAATTTACTTGATTAGAATTATCAACTAATTTTTGAATAATGGAGATAAGAATTTTTTTTTTTTATCTTTATTTATTTTTATATAATTTCTAATACCCGAAGAAGAAATATATCCAGATATTGCCATTGCTTCTAACTCTTCATTTCAGCATCAAATATAGATTGTATTGATGTATCTCGATCCAAATGGTTGAAAATATTTCGACCATTAATATTAATTCCACAGACAGTATATATTTCTTTAAATAAACCAGAAATTCGTTTTTCTCCTAATGGTTTGTCATAATACTATAATTTTTTCGAAATTGTTAAATTAAAATAAAATAGAAATTAAAAAAAAATAACGTATAAATTTAATAAACAAATATTATACTTACCTGATGTATTTTGCGAAATTCCCAAATAAAATTCTTTAGATTTATCATTTGGTGGTCTTAAAGAAATAAATTTACAAATATCTGCATTAGGTTTAGCTTGATTTGAAATATCTTTTGAAAATGAAATTTTGAGGTCATATTGATTTCCTTCAATATCACCTTGATCATTTTTTTGTTTAAATTTTCAAAATAAAAATTCTTAATTTGTATCTATAAATTGTGAAACTAATAGATTCTTATGTTTACCATCACGAGAACAATCAAAGAGACACATCTAAAGAAAAACATAACAAAGAAGACCTTTAGGATTATTTGGAGATAATGCTTTATGATATAAAATAAGGTTTAATTCTTCAATTATAATTCCGTTATAAGATTTTGTTGTTCCTATTTCTAATTTTTTCATCTCTTTTAACATTTCATCAAGAGTTGCAAAAATATTAGGAAAATTGCCTTTATTCAATAGATTATATTGCCAGTCGGGTTTGGTATCACATAAATGTCGACTAATCGAAGCCACAGTATTTTTCAAAGAAGATTGTGAATAATAATCACCTTTCAAAGTACGAAACCCATAAATAAATTCACAAACTTCCTTTTCAAGTTATGATTTACATGTAACTGATTCAAGTGTATAATTGTATCCAACATTAATGTGATTTCGTCAAGTATTCATAATTTTAATCCACTTGTTGGTACACTTAATAGTATTTTGAGGAATTTGATTTTTTTGTATTTTTTCCAGTTCGGCTATAGTTGGTTTTAAATAATTCATATTTAAAAATAAAGAAAAAAAATTAAAAAGTATTAAAATAAAGAAAAAAAATTAAAAAGCTTAAAGTAAAAAAAAATGATGTATGCCAGATAAATGAGTTATTTGACATTCAATACTGAATAACTTCACCATTTAAAGGTGGTTTACATATTTGGCAACTGATTTGATTGATGATTCTGGGCTCCAAAGGAGCCCAGAATTAACCAATCAAATTGCGTTTGCCCGATACTACAGTTATTCGGCACTGCATGCTGAATAACTAATTAATATTCTGTATTTTTCAAAATTATATATATACATATGGTTCAACCTGGTTGGTATTTTATATAATTAATATTGTATAACTATGTGTTGTTGCAATTAAACAATATTGAACACATATTTTAAAATATTTGAATTGTTGAAAATTTTCAATAAAAATTTTTTTTTTTTCAACGACTGGCGTACACCTTGTTTTATTAAATTAATTTCGAGAAACTACAAATTCGTTTTATACAAATTTTCTAACTCTGGCTATTTAATGAAACTATCTAGGGATTAACCCACCGGTTGGCTTATTGTCCTCCAATCCTCCTATATTACCAACACCGGAGCCCTGATAGCATAGGTGGAGTGCTAATGTGCCAGGATGTGCGCCT